TTTTTATTGGCCTCATTCAACGGCCTTATTCAAATTCTCAAACAACATTTTCATCCCAAAACATCCCTTTATTCTCACCACCACAACACACTCATCCCTTCACATAATATAATACTAAATTCTCAAGTAGAGACAAGGAAAAATAAAGATAATAGCTTAATGTGTGGCAATCAATAAAATAGGCAAAAGCTGAAAAGGGTTGACTAGGGAATAAAAACATTACTTGGTAAGCTAAAAGTCAAAAGGGCTAAAACAAAAATATGCCTTAAATCATTTTCACAAAAAGCACACACCATGTGGTCTCGACAAAGATACCAGTGCAAGTTCTAGAATTCAACAACAATGAACGATACACTCAATCAACAAAGCATAAGGCTCAAAAGCTCACAAGTGCTCATATATTCATGAATTAAAAGCATCAACCAATCATTCAAATTCACAATTCAATTCATCATCAAATCCTATCACCTAGTACATCATGCCCAAATTCCATACCCAATATGCCTAACAAACTTATCAAGGTGAATCCAAGTTGACCAACTACAACTACTCAAATTCTACAAAAGCAATAAACGTGCTAAAGCAATAAACCTAACATGCAACTATATGATATGCAAGATAATGTAAGATATCTTGTTATCTTCTCTCTCAATTCTCAAATCAAAATATCAAATCTCCCCACAAACTTGAATGAAATTATATAAAGCACAAAAGGGAAGAATAGAATTTCAATAAAAGTAAAATAGAGACGACTCACAAAACATTACTGGAAAGGTGACAACTTTTGGTATATATCTCGAAACATATTCTTCGTCATGTAAATCTCTCCACGTACTGTTCTGCAAGGAAGAAGAACAAAATATCAAACAAACTAAAAATACAACTAACTAAAAATAAATAAAAAATAAAGCAGTAAACATTGGGTTGCCTCCCAACAAGCGCTAAGTTTAACGTTTTCAGCCAGACGCCTGTAAAGTACGATCACGTCTCCTTCAAATTCATGTAGGACAGTTTCGCCTCCTGGTATGGATAAAAATACTTCTTAATTCGTTGTCCGTTGACTAGAAAGGTCTCGCCATCTCGTGCAATCAATTCCTCTTCCTCCTTTGTCATTACTGTCATTCCTCCCTTTTTCGGTACAACTTGCATCGGGCTCACCCACTCACTATCAGAAATAGCAACTATAATCCCTAAATATGAACATGTCAAATGATCTGGCAATGGTTTGAGCTCCAAAATCTGTGTGTCGGGCTTTGAAGGACCGGAATCGGGCGAAATAGAGCTAGAAAGGCCTGACACGACCTTCGAAACGGTCGACACGACCGTGTCACGACTGCCCCTCAAAAACCCGTGTTTGAAGTTGTGACACGGCCACCTGACACGGCCCGTGTCGCAGGTCGTGTCGAGTCTGGGCAGATTCTTCAACTTCCAGGTTCTTGACACGACCACCTGACACGGGCTGATCGGTCGTGTCGCAGCCCGTGTCACCCCTGCAGAGCCTACTTCCGCATCTTTTCTTCTCCTTTCGATCCCCAAACTCAAAATCTCTTTCGGCTTGCTTTCCTCCTGCGTAGAATCAAAAGAAAACACATATTCAAGTATCGAATCATTAGGAGAACAAGAATTAATCAATCCATATTCCAAAGAATCTCTAGACAATGTATGATCAAGATGAGACAAGACGCATGAATTTATAGTCAAGAAAGTTACAATGCACATTATTATCATGAAATTTCATAGCCTTATATATAGAAAATAACACATGCTAATCATTAACACGCAAAGTAAGTTCTCCCTTTTTGACGTCAATCAAGGCATCTCCCGTCGCTAGAAACGATCTTCCTAGAATCAATGGCACCTCGTTATCTTCCTCCATGTCCAACACAACGAAATCCACTGAAAATATAAATTTATCAATCTTGGCAAGCACATCCTTGACAATCCCTTTCGGATACGTAATCGAACGATCCGCTAACTTTAAGGGCATCGTAGATGGCTTCACTTCTCCTAATCCGAGCTTCCTGAAAATTGACAAAGGCATGAGATTAATACTAGCACCATGATCACATAAAGCATTGTTAATGGAAATATTTCCAATAGTGCAAGGAATCATAAAGCTCCCGGGATCCTTAAGCTTCTGAGGAATCGTGCGTTGGAAGATTGCACTACTCTCTTCCGTTAAGGTCACCGTTTCATGTTCATCAATCTCCCTCTCTTCACAAGTCGTTGAGGAAACGGTAAAGGAATAGAAAGTTTAGGAGAGCCAAAGTTAGAATTAAATGTAATCCCAGGCCTCAACGGTGTTACCACACTTGGTTCTTTTTCCAATATATCTGGACCTTCATACTCTATTTCAGCTTGTAGATAGATGGCATGACATTGCTCTTTCGGGTTCAACTCGGTATTGCTCGAAAATTGACCCCTTTGGTGCTAGCTTCCCACGGCTTTGGCCAGTTGGCCAATTTGCATCTCCAAATTTTTCAATTGAGCTCCCACTGTTGTAGCCAGTTGAGTCACATGATTCTCGATCTTGTCCAATTTCTCATTAATACAAGTCTCACACCCTGACCAACTGGAGTTCGCCCTAAGCTTGCTCTCCTCGCCGGTTGAACGCGGAACCTGCACGAAACTCCCACACCGGAGGTGTTTTCCGGTGAAGAGCCTCCAACGCTCAAGTCAGATCTTGAGAGATAATATGAGTGTATGAAAAAGTACCAGAATGTATTAGATCTTACTGAAAATGAGGATTTTTACCCTTATTTATAAGGGCGAGTTACCTGAGCTGCACGCGCGAGCAAGGCGAGTCCGGCCAACTGTCTCCTGCTCGTTCGTACGGCCGCGCGCTTCCACTATCTTTAGTGTCAGGAGCCGCGTCCTCTTTGTCAGAGAATGTCAGAGTTCGTTGCAGCTACGTAGCCACTCAAAGTGCGCCACGCGTCATTCCTTTCACGTGCTGAAGATTCCCTCATGCCCCTCTGATATTCGACCAATCTTTTGCGACCACGCCTTATTCGACCACTCGTGGTGGTCCGCATCTGTCGACCACGTTTAATCTCTTTTGTCTGCTCTCTGCTCCTTTGTTGCTAGTGTTTGGTCCTTCTTGACCAGGTTGCTCGATCTCTCCTAACTCAGGTAATCCAGCGGTCCGACCTATTTTCTCCAGTCGTCCGGGCGAACCGGTCCAGTATACAATATCCCATATCATCTAGTCCCCCCACTCTGGTCGAGTCTGAATGACTCGATCTAAGAGTAAGGCTTGTCTATGTCGCCGAGATTCCACTCCACCTGTTTCGAACATCTAGTGCATTCTCCTCTCTTGTGCGTCTACTCTTTCCCCTAACCGCTATTTTGCATCTTTTGAATTTCGAATTTGGCCACTTGTCCGCCCTTTTTGGAATGCGTCCTTTCATCTGTCAGAGGTCATGATGACCTCGTGATCTGTGTTGCCTCGAATCTCGCCCTGTTTCCGCGTACCCCCTTTTCCTGCCGTTGGATTTTCTACTTTAATCCTACGGCTCGAAACTACGTGCCCGTTCATTTGCCTTCTGATCGCAGCCCTTCACTCTTTATGATCCTGCGGTTGGCAATCTCTCCTGTTTATTTTTCGTCCTTATAAATACCCACACTTAGGGAAATTTTTGCTTTTCTTCACTTTCGTATTCCATCGCATTAAGGCTTTCTGCAATTCGTGATCTCCTGCAACTTAACGGTCCTCGATCTTCCAGTCGACAGAACATCGTTCACCATGAGTAAGTCTTCTTTAACCTTATATTTATGTTTATCAGTCTTTTAATTTTTGCGTCCATCCTCTTCTCCTCGAATTTTTTGGTTTTACCTTTCTTTCCTCTCTCTCTTCCCCTCGCGCTTTGTTCTTCCGATTTCTGTTCTCCCACTGTGCCGTATGTTCCCTCTTCTTCTTCGTCTCTTTTGTTTTCTTATTAATTGAAATTTTTTCTTTCTTTTCTTCCCCCTTTTCTCAGATTCCGCTACTTCGAGTGAAAATGATCGGCACAGTGGTAAGGACCTGACCTCTCCTTCCTCCTCCGCAACTCTCAGTTTATCGAGCGATTCAGTGCAAGAAATTCTTTAGCCTGAGCCCCTTTCTGTCCTTCCCCCTGCGACGACCAGT